AAAAAAAAAAAAAAAAAAAAAAAAAAAAAAAAAAAAAAAAAAGAAAAGAAAAGAAAAGAAAAGGAAAAGGAAGCAATGAAGAAAAGTGAGAAAAATAATGAAAGAGAGTGAATAGGATTAAAATCATCAGGAGATGTTCCCCCAAAAGGACAAACAAGTTTTAAAACATTTCAGAGAATTTAACTCTAAAATTCTAGAACACACTCTGATAGGAAAGTATATTTGTAAAAGGGTAAAAAGGGTGGTTTGGCTTTTACCTAAAACTCATTTGTCATCAGATAATATTGTTAGAAGGAAGAATATGATTTAAGAATGAGAAGTCTTAAGTGTTCTTCCCATCTCTGCCACATTCACACATCACCGATCACCTCTTTGCCTCAGTTTCCTCATTTGTAAAATGTTCAGGATAAAATCTGATCTGTCTTCTTCACAAAGTAGCTATGAGGCATTCAAATGTGAGAACAGTGAAAAGTCTTCACAAACTACTAAAGCACAATGTGAAAGCATTCTTAACAATAACAAATGAACAGTGACATTAAAAGTGGACAAATTCCAAAATTATTTAAATAAAACCATTTCGACTCCAATTTTAATCCAGTAAAAATCAAGATCTATTATTCTTAAAGTGAAAAGAAAAAGATAAGTCATCCCAACTACCTTAGATTAAAATTACTATGTTAAGAATTAGCACTTCATCTTCAATGCTATTTGAAACATTTAGTCATCCACTTTAACTGCATCTTTCAAGGTCTAATATAGAATGACAATTTGTTTTCTTGAATGAAACTGAGCAAACACACAACACGCAGGCGCATGCACACACGCACATACTGTATGCACAAGGCAAATACATAAAACCACTGATTTTTCTTATCCTGGGTCAGGTTACACAAACCAAATCTTTATTAATTTTTTAAATCACTGGAGTAATGAAGTTTTAATTTTATCCAAAGCTAAAATCAGAATATATAAAGAGATATCAAATATTTTAACTTATAAGTTATATATTACTCAACTTTTTCTCACTAACTATAAACCAGATGCCAGTAAGTCTTTGCCTTTTAATCTCTAAAACTGCACCGTCCAACTCAATAGCCACTGGGCACATGTGACTACTGAGCACTTGAAATGTGGCTAATACAAATGGAGATGGACCATAAAATACATCCCAGATTTTGAAGACTAACCATGAGAAAAAATAATATAAAAATATCTCATTGACTTCTTAAAAACACTGATTACATGTTGGAATGAAAATATGCTAGATTGTTTGGGTTTAATAAAATAGATTAAAACTGATTTTACCTGTTTCTACTTTTACATGCGGCTATCAAAAAATCTTAAATTACATAGGTGGCTTTGTCATATGAGAAAATGTTGGTCTATTTCTCTTGGAGAGAGCTGCTCTACAAGAATACCAACACACTCTGTCTCTCCACATACATGTATAGACAGTTTATAAATTCACCCAGAATAGTCCTCAAAATGGGTCTTAGTCTTTACATCCTTGGCCACTGCGGAAGCTTGGCCAAACCACCTGACTTCCTTCCACTCACTCAATCACCTGAAACCTGAAGTCCCAGGAAGAGGCAACCACCTGGGAAGGGCAGGGACCCCACTAGTGCAGCCTAGGACTTACTGGAGAGAAGTCATTCCTTTCAACCACTCCTGCAGAGTAAAATAACCCATGTTTTGTGCATCCAATTTCCAAGCTAGGACAAGCATAACTACCTGTTAAAAAAATACACAATTAAAAAAATATATTAGACCAATTAAAAAAGAATAAACAGATCTGTCATTAATACATTAACGTTTTGCCGAATGCGTCTGTTTACAGTAGTTTAGTCACTGAAATATGAGCAGAGTTAACTTCAAAAATGAGTTGTAGTTTGGCAAATATCCAAAAAATCTGACAATATCATCTGCTGACAAGAGTTTGGAGAAGCATGTATTCTCCTGATGTACAATAGTGGAGGTGTAGGGTGATCACCCTCTCCAGAGGGCAGTATCAAATGTAAAACCAGTTATTGACAATTCCACCTATGGAAAGTTATCTTATAGGTCTACCTGTAAACAGACACAAAGATGAATAGTCAACGGTATTTACTGTAGTACAATTTGTAGCAGTTAACTGAAAACAACCAAATGTCCATTAAATAAGGGACTGGTTAAATACTTCTTTGCTGAATACATTCCATATAAAGGAATATTATGACACTACTAAGATGAACGAAGTAGAACTAGCTGGACAAATATGGAATAATCTCCAAGATGTATTAAGTGAAACAGCAAGGTGTAGAACAGTGGATTAAAACATAACAAGGTGGACAGGAGGAGACACGCAGTGGAGTTGTAGCACATATACTTTAATGTTTGTGAATTCACTATATACACTGGTTGGAAATTATTTTAAAGTAGTCCCACATTCCACTTAAGACAGCACTATGCCTGGAATGGGCCCAGGGTCTGTGGCATGGTCCCATCACTTGTAAAGGAGGGTCAGGCCCCCAGGTGCCACCTGTGCTTTTGTGACTCTTCTGAAACCATGCAGGTTTCAGAAACGGTGACAACTCTGGTTTATGCCACTGCTTGCTACTATTTCACTTAGTTATTTTAGAGAAAAGATAGCACAGAGAACTGATGGTGAGTTTTAATAAATACCTGAAGGTGTAAAGGCAAAATGACATTTCAAAGGTGCACCCAGTTTTAAGCTATCTGGAATGCTACATAGGGACAGAGCTGAGGCCATGTGTGACTGGGACAAGAGGAGGAAGCCTTCCTTCTCATCTACCTCAAAGATGCTAGAAGAGGTGAGAAGTAACTAAAAAAGCATGTCTGTCCTAAAAAGGTAAAGAGGAGGGACAGGGCCTTCTTAGGACCATTCTGCCAGCCACTCTGTAGAACTGGTTATCTCTGGACAGTCATTCATATATAAGGAACATCCAAGTCCTAAAATAGGAATCAGGTACACACTGTTAACAGGCTCTCTCTCTGTATTGAAACAGAAAAAGGCAATGGGTAGAGATATATGTTTCTCCAAGGACTAGGATACCCCACATTGGCAGTTAATTTGATCTCTTTACTTTTAAACCTAAGGCTTCATTTCAGCTACTGAAAGAATCATTCAAAACCATTAAAACACCATCCCTGTGCCCAACTGGGTCAGATGATGGCTGTGGTAAAAGGAACTAGGATGATATAAAAACATGAAACATGAGGCAAGAAATCATTTTTAATGATTTCTGAGCCTCCGAGAGCCAACATATCCATTAAAAACTCTAGAACAAGAGTAGTTAGGAGATTCAGAAGCTCTTCTTAAATTGTCTGCCAATAAGCTAGGTTGTAGGCTAAAAAATCTCTAGCTTTGTCTAATTTACATCTAGAGTAGTAAGGAGAAGCTTTCTCTTGATGCTTTATGGTTTTCCTCACTGGAAATTAGTATCAGTGAGAACCTATGAAATTTTTAGGATCTTTCATCAAATAAATCAGTACATACGAATTTTTGAAAGTCATTAGGATTTTTTAGATTAAAAAATTTAGATTACTAGGTAAATCACTAGGACTGATTAGCAATGATTGCTTACAAGGCTAAAATATGATTGTTAAATAGGTTAGAAAGTGGTGACTTAAGAGACTGAGGGGCTACTAAGAATTTCCCAAAACGATGGGGTTACAGTTCTTCAAATTATTCACACATTAATGGATTTTCTCCTCATCCCTCAGGTGTCCAGGAATTCTGACTCTTGCATATCAATTTACCTAGGACAACTAACCAGCTCATATTTTCTAATGCAAACTAGGTATTCTCAAACCATCTCTATTCTACTCTCTACCAAAAAGATTTAAAAATTCTACATAAACACTTGTTAAGTTAAAAAAAAATGGTGAGGTGCAAGAACACACACACACAAGTATGAGTGAAACATGGCCAAGCAGCCAAAAAGATACTCATAATGGGCAAGTTCCTAAAAAAGAGACTTTCATAAGTTAACTAACAAGAAAGCTAAGTACTTAAATAAAGAATTTTGCTGTTATCTTGGTAAATGAATGTAGACTTGAATTTTACAAGCCTGCTTAATTTAATAAGCTACAAATATCAGGCAAGGTGAGGGTTTTAAATACTTTAAACATGCTTGCCTATCAATGCAGACAAGGCTTGAAAACACCATATTTCACCATTTGTTTTACAAACGTTAATGTCTCTGAAATGGGAATGCATCCACAATTGATATAGCATGTCAGAATTTATTTAGCAACACATTTTCTTTCTTAGTGATATAAAATAATATAAGTTCTATTGATGACAGCTTGGAATTGAAGTACATACAGTGTAAATATTTGGATAATATTCTTCTTTTTTTCTTTTTTGAGACAGAGTCTTACTCTGTTGCCCAGGATGGAGTATAGTGGTACAATCTCAGCTCACTGCAACATCTGCCTCCTGGGCTCAAGCGACTCTCGTGCCTCAGCCTCCTGAGTAGCTGGGATTACTGGCACACGTCACCACACCCGGCTAATTTTGGTATTTTATTAAAGATGGGGTTTTACCATGTTCTCCAGGCTGGTCTGAACTCCTGACTTCACGTGATCCACCCACCCACCTCAGCCTCTGAAAGTACTGGGATTACAGGTACGAGCCACCACGCCCGGCCTACATACTTGGATAATATGGCCTTTTAGTCTTTAATATGATTCTAAATTTTAAGGCTATTTCTATTCCTACAGAAATGGAGTTCTTTTTGTTTGTTTGGAGACGGAGTCCTGCTCTGTCACCCAGGCTGTAGTGCAGTGGCATGATCTTGGCTCTGCTCACTGCAACCTTCACCTCCTGGGTTCAAGTGATTCTCCTGCCTCAGCCACCCAAGTAGCCACACCCAGCTGATTTTTGTATTTTTAGTAGAGATGGGGTTTCGCCTTATTGGCCAGGCCGGTCTTGAACTCCTGATCTCAGGTGATCCACCTGCCTTGGTCCCTCAAAGTGCTGGGATTACAGGCATGAGCGCCACCATGCCAGGCCAGAAACAGAGTTCTAAAGGACTCATAACTACCAAAAAAGAATGACAATAACTATCTTTTATTGAGTACTGGTATTTGAGGGTGAAGAAACTTGAAGAGCTGGGCCTCCCTTTCTTTTTCAGTTAGAATCAACATCAGTGCTCTCCCATCCTGACAGGCTTTTCTGCCTCTGAGACTAAATGCTCAGCTAATCCCTCACATACCAGCGAGCCCTTTGTCTCCCAATCTTCTCAGCCTCTAACTTCAAGCCCAGGCCCTGCTACCACTCCTCTGTCATATACTTATTACAGTACCCTATGTGGAACCTCCAGAGCCCCTCTCAAGCCCAACTCACTCTCAGCCCTCTGACTACACTGTTTAGAAAACACTCTGCCAAGCTTGGCCCAGCTCTCATAGAAAACTTCCTTCTTAAATTCAATGTAATGGTCTTTTCTTGTGCCTATGGCCCAATCTATGGTAAAATACTATTGACCCAGGTGTCCCGAAACCTTCATGCCAAGTTGGGTAAATCATTGAAATATCTGAACTGGAATACATTAAACACACACACACACACACACACACACACACACACACGATAAAAATCTATGTAATAAGTGAAAGACATTCCAAAGGCTCTTTAGAAAATTTAAAGCATTGCTGGGGGCCGAGGTAGATGACAGAAGCACAGAAATGGTAAGGGTAAAATAAAAAGTTTAAAGAAAAAAATGTGAATTTTGCTAGTTTCTTTAAAAGCATGATATACATGCCTGGGCAGATGTCTTCGAAACAGCCTGAATAAAGGGAATGATCTCTTGAGATCTCTTCCAGATCATCAATTCATTTAGGGTCTTGTACATATTTGTTACACTGGAGCTAATGTAATATTAAACTGCATAGTTAATGAGGCAGTGCATGTGTATAAGCATAGTTTTTCATTTTAGTATAAGAGAGGTGATGTGAGAACAGAAAAAATATTCAACAATAACATGCTAAGAATTAGGCAAAAACAATTAAGCCTATAAAAATCACTCTAATTAAAAATAAATATCTAGGGCTTTTTACATTATAAAAAGCAATCATGGCTGGGTGCTGTGGCTCACACCTGTAATCCCAGCACTTTGGGAGGCTGAGCCAGTTGGATCACAAGGTCAGGAGATAGAGACTATCTGGCCAATATGGTGAAATCCCATCTCTACTAAAATATAAAAAACATTAACCAAGTGTGGTGATGTACACCTGTCGTCCCAGCTACTCAGGAGGCTGAGGCAGAGGAATTGCTTGAACCGGGAGGCGGAGGTTGCAGTGAGCCGAGATCATACCATTGTACTCCAGCCTGGTGACAGTGTGAGACTGTCTCAAAAAAAAAAAAAAGCAATCACTTTCTGAACTAAATTCAATTGGAAGTAAAAGATCTGTGAAAAAGTCTTGAAAATTACAATCTACTCAAAATCATGGTGAATAATTTTAAGTCCTACGTTGACTCTACATTAGGCTGAAACAACTACTGAGGGGCACGAAGGTACACAGTGTACAATGTGGCCTCCAGTTGATCCGTCATTGCAGGCAAATGTGGCCACACCATTTTGTAAGCATCCGGCTTACTGTACCTTTTATATCCAAGAAATTAAATGAGAGAAAAAATAACTGTAGTTACACCATATCACTTACAAGAATGGAAAATCTGCTTATAAGTGAAACTAGAATTGGAACTTATTTCTTAGATTGCTTCATAAAAACTAACATACCATTAGTTTTTAATTATTTATTTATTTATTTGCTAAAGAACAAAGATTTAAGTAAGAAAAATAACCAATGGATTCACCCAACTCAGTAAGTTAGACTCACGTTTTCTGGTTCAACACCAATGTCTTCACAAAATTTCTCCATGCCTTCAGGGCCTACAACATCATCAGTTCCTGTGAAATACAATCTTATGTAAATTAAATCTGACCATGCACACTACTCTATTACCACTGTAGTAGTAATATACTGTCAACAAGTAAGACTTAAAGGCCATTAACTCCTTTTGGAAAAAAAAAATCAAGTATAAGTTGAAAAGTATTCTGGAATTCCAGTATCTTTGAAGGACTCTACTTTGTACAATCATTTAAATCAACTTATCACCATGTCCTTCAATCGTTGGAATATGGTATATACCATTTGTCTAAAGTTAAGGCTGAATTCAATTCCTCCTCTTTAAAACAGCTTAATCTTCAACTCTTACTTAAGGTAACAATTTCAATACATAAAATAATTTTTGGAAACACAGCAAAGAACCACATAATAGTCTCTATAAAATTAAATAAGAAAAAACATAAATGTTTCTTTTACATAGAAAAAAATCAAGTTATCACTCTGTTCTTGATAAAGTCAGTAAGGTCCCCTTTTTCCATTCTAGCATTAGCTCTGATTCTTCCTGAAGGAAGTGTCCACACATTCCATCTCTAATTTATCTCCCTTTCACTTTGCAACCATTGGAATTTGGTTTCTTCCTTCTCCTAGCTCTCCACTGAAATTCTTTTTGCCAAGGTCTCTGATAATCCCCTAAATGTCGAATCTAACAGACAAATTCGGTCTTTATTTTAACTGACCATTGCGTGATATCTGAAAATCTGAAGCAGTTCTTTCTTCACAAAACTGTCTCTTCCCATGGCTTCTGGAAGCACCCTCTCTCATCTGGTTCTCCTCCTTCCTCTCTTCTTTTGGCTTCTTTATGGGTTCTTCTGCTTCTCCCAGATGGTTAAATTTGATGTGCAAAGATTCATCCTTAAACCTCTTCTAGTGCTTGCTATATACATTATTCTCAGGAAATTTCAACCATACTCAAGGTCTCAGGTCCTACCCAAATGTCTTTCTAGACCACATTTTCCCCTTACTTTTGAACTACTTGCCACTTTATTCACTAGCTGCTCTACCTCCTGTTTAACTGCCGTAACTACACTCTTCTTCTGCTTCACACCTACTCCTCCTGAATTTCACATTTTCAAACACTGCCTCACTAAAATGGAGCCCAATGTCTCTCCATATCAGGCCTGCTTATCCTCTGGTATGCTGTCCCAGCTGGTGGCACACCCAGAAATAGAAACCTGGGAGTCATCTTGTATTCCTCCTTTCTCCCACACCGAATTATCAAGTGTACTACCAATTTTACCTTCTAATTATTTCTTAATTGTGCCTCTCCTGCACCATGCTCTTTCAAAGCTTTATTCTTGACAACTACAGCAGTCTCCTCATGATTTCCCAATTCCAGAGTCTTTCCCCCTTGACCCATCCTGCAAACAGCCACTGAAGGGATCCACTTCAAACGCAATCCCATGCTGGCTTAAAATCCTTCAATGGCTCCCTAGAGCCTAAAGATAAAATCCAAAGTGTTTGGCTTATCACATAAGGTTCTCTATGATCTAGTGCCTTCCTTCCCTCCTCAGTCTTATATCTTTCTAACTGTAAAACAAGTTTCTCAGAAATAAATGAATCAATAAATATTGCCGGATGAGTAAAAATTAAGGTCCAGAAACACCTACTTAAATGTGGCTTCACTCTGCACCACCACCGAACACACACCCAGCATGGTATTACTCTTTGTGTCTCTGCCTATCTTCCTCTAGTCCCTTTTCTGTCCCCTCCTCTCCCTTCCCCCAACTCCCCTGGCTAACTTATTCAACCTTTAAGACTGAGAGCAAAGGGGCAGTCCTCTCAATCTCCCCACCTGCAGAGGGTCAGGCGGTCCTGTGACCCCTCGCAGTGCTAGGAATTGTTCTCACACATTTAGCACACTGCATTCAAAGTCCCAGCTCATCTGTCTTTCCCTCTAAGCTCAAGAGCAGTTCTTTTATTCTTACAAGTTCAGCATACCGTCTGGTATAGAGTAGTTGGTCCAATAAAAACTGTATGAAGGAATAAATGAATGGCTGAATACCAGAATATAGGAATCGCTCTACAATCCTCCTATACCCTCTAGATCTAGCAAGTCACCAAGTCCAGCAGAATCCACCATCTTAGAATGTATCCATTTCATTACCATAACATTTACTAGACACATTCTGGAGCTATGCACTGCAGTAGCTGCCTAGGGTGCAAATGGTCCCTGCCCTCCATGAAGGGAGACAAAGCACAGGAGTAACTTCAAAACAAAGTAACAAGACTTTCACTAACACAAAGTATACGGTGGCTGTTCTTAACAAAGGAGGAACATTAAAGTCACAAGAAGCTCCTGCTGGAAAGTCTTATGTCATTTTTCTGCTTCGAATCCTTGGCTCTCCCTAAAGTTCAAACTCAGGCCCTTCCTCATAACCTGGCCAAAGCAAATACTTTTCTCTCGTTGCCATTACTTTCCTTTTAATCACAAATGTTCTACTTTGTTACACAATGTTTTGCTTCATATATTCAAATCTGTTACTTTTTTCTGGGATTTTGTCCCCTTTTATCCCCTTTTTATATAAATGTATAAACATAAATATAAAAATATAAATTTTTATATAAATATATATATTTTTGTATTCCTAGTTTTCTTGATTATCAGAAGAAAACCAAGTAATATTTTAGTTTTGTACATTAATACATAAACATGATAAAAAGTTTCATTTGAAAATAAAAAATAAAGATGTTCCAAAAGTGAAGTTTTCCCCCTCTAACTCCTCCCTACTCTGCAGAGACAACTATTTATTAAAGAGTTTCTTTAACAACACTTCCCAAAATAAGCCATCTCATAGAATTGTATAGGCATGGAATGTATATATATTTATTTAGTGTTTCTAAGTTTGCCCAGGCATTCTCTCTGGCCTTTCAAGTGTAAAGTAATTTAATCATTTCATCTGCAATGATCATTTCTGTCTCCTCCTTTCAAATATTTACACTCCTCCTTTCTCTTGTCTAACAGCAGTGGCTAGTAGCTTCCAAAACAATGGCAAATAAGAGTAGTGAGAGTGGACATTCTTATCTCATTCTTGACTCATATAGGATATTTAGCATTTTATTATACAATATATTGCCTGCTTTCTTTGGTTTGAGAGTGCATATATCCACATGTGCATATTCATGTATGTATTAGACACACAACACATCAATTCATTCACATGATAAAATATCCAAATAGAGAAGATACAGAGTAAAATAAACAGTTAAATAAGAAAGTTGACTTCTCCCTTTCTTTACCAGATAGACATGTATCCTCCTGGACCTTTTTGCTATATATGGGCAAATATATACTAAAATGCAGTTTTCAAATTTGTACATAGGTTTGTGAGGTACCTGTAATTCTACACCTTGCCTTTTTCACTGACTGTGTCTGGTAATCTTCCTGTGACAGGACCCATATATCTACTTCATTCTTCTTAGCTAATATTAATACATTTTATGTTATCCCATTGTAAGTGTATATGTGTGTATTTATTTATATGAATCAAAGTTCTTTTCATCATTCTACTACTGTAAAGTATTTAGGCTGTGAGATTAAAGAATAATTATTCTGATAAGGAAATATTCATCTATTCCTATTTTGTGTTGTTTCTAGAAACAGATACTTTTTGGTATCTACTGATATGGCTTATTGAGAAGTAGTTGCATAGAGCTGGGGGCAAGTTACTTTGTAATTCTTTTAAAATTCTCTTTGGTTTCTATTCTTCCTGATTTAAAAAAGCTCTTTCTGTACAACTTAATTTTTTTTTTTTTTTTGAGACGGAGTCTGGCTCGGTCACCAAGGCTGGAGTGCAGTGGCGCAATCTCGGCTCACTGCAACCTCTGCCTCCTGGGTTCATGCCATTCTCCTTCCTCAGCCTCCCGAGTAGCTGGGACTACAGGCGCTCACCACTACGTCTGGCTAATTTTTTGTATTTTTTAGTAGTAGAGACAGGGTTTCACCGTATTAGCCAGAATGGTCTCGATCTCCTGACCTCGTGATCCACCCACCTTGGCTTCCCAAAGTGCTGGGATTACAGGTGTGAGCCACCGTGCCCAGTCTGTGCAACTTATTCTTGAGCCTAGCAAGCCGCCTGCATTTGCCATGCCTCTGCACAGGGCTTGGGTGTTACCCGGCTTCCCCTCCCCCTCATGCATCCTCCAACTTGGCTGCCGCCGTCTCTTTCTGTCAATGTTCACTATAATGTTTCTCACTTATTTGCCTGTTTGCCACATGGGAAAATGAACTCTGAGCACAGTGCTTCTGCTGACTGCACCCCAGACCTCAACAAAAGTCTGCTGAGGTATACTTTGCAGTGGTTATGTAAGTTATTCATGCTTTTTCTTTTTTCCCAATTTTATACAGTGTTGTCGTACTACTTATATATACACATGTCTGTGTTTTAGAAGAGCAAGATTTTAGAGTATAATTTGCAATGGCATGACTGTCAAAAGTAATATCTTATCCAAAATAGTTAAAATACAGTTTGCCAATCAACATTATTTAAATGCTACCAATAATCCTGCCACCTTAACACTTTTTTTAAGAGATGGGGTCTCACTATATTGCCCAGGCTGGTCACAAACTCCTTAGCTCAAACGATCCTCCTACCTCAGCCTCCCAAAGTGTTGGAATTACAGGCGTGACCAACTGCGCCCAGCCCTAACACCTTTCTTCTCATCTTTCCCACGCATACATTTAAATCTAGTTGTAATCACATGATTTGTTGGGATTCTAGTTGCATTTTACAGTAAATTTACCTGTAGAATTAAGGTAATTACCTCTGTCAAGCAAGCTAACAAATATGCCACTGGCTAACACAAAGTAGGTTAGAAGTTAAGTTTGAGAGTTTTTTTTTAACTTATATCTAAAATAATAAGCTATAAAATGCCCTATGTGACAAGATACTGGAGGTACATCTGGTAAGGCTGATATATTGACAATAAACCAGAAAGAAGTCGTCCTTCCACTTTCCCTGCCATCTTAAGCAGGGGCCCCTAACTAAAGGTATTTGACCTTTTCATGATGGCCCCATAATTACAGCATGCCACATCACGGAGGGAAATGGGGCCCACATGGTCTCTTTGGTAGTTTTTAACATCTCTTCCTTCGCAATCAGACCAGTTTATTATTTGTTGCAACTGTCCATGACTGACTTTATTTCTGGTAAACCAAACAATTCTGCTATAGAATTTAATCCAAAATAGACTAAGGGCCTACAGTCAGAACTTGTAGAACTATTATGACCTATGTATGTGAGCTTTGGTATAACTGTAAAACCAATGTTGGCACTTGTGTATTTGGTTTAATTCATTATTCTTAGATACATTTCAAAAAGTGGAAGTTATTAGATAAATTATGTAAACTGGTTGCCTTCATTCTTTTTTTTTTTTTTTTGGGACAGAGTCTCGTTCTGTTTCCCAGGCTGGAGTGCAGTGATGCAATTTTGGCTCACTGCAACCTCTGCCTCCTGGGTTCAAGTGATTTTCCTGCCTCGGCTTCCCGAATAGCTGGCACCTCAGGTGCATGCCACCATGCCCGGCTAATTTTTTGTAATTTTAGCAGAGACGGGATTTCGCCATGTTAGCCAGGATAGTCTCTATCTCCTGACCTCATGATCCACCCGCCTTGACCTCCCAGTGTTAGGATTACAGGCATGAGCCACCATGCCCGGCCTGGTTGTCTTCGCTCTAATGAAACAAAATGGGATTCCAGATTCAGATCAAGGTCTAAATAAACACTTCCCCTGAACCTCCCAGCCAATCCTTTCTAAAGTCATAGAGAGCTAAAGTACCAAAGTGCAAAAGGGAGTAAACCTACAATCAGAGAACAGGAGGAAAAGCCCCCAGCGAAGGACGGTTTATTTATTAGATTTCTGGAGATCAGAAATTGAGCTGGTGGAGATTTTAGAAAGTGAGAAGCTGCATTCTAGAATATGCAGTGGACGACTGGGGTTAACTGGCCAGACATAAGCTTGGAGGAGCTGGGCTCAGGCCTCAGGAGCCACGTAAAGCAGAGGGCAAGGTACAAAGTGGAACTGAGAATGCTGGAAAGAGCTGAAGGTCCATCCATGTGAAATAATCACACACCAGGACCCTGCTGCCCCTCCACTCCAGTGTCCTCCAGATTAAAAGGCAAGGAGTCAGCATTTATCCTCAGCCCAAACCAGCCTGCTCTCTTCTACGGAAAATGAACATGGCTCAAGTTCACTTATAAGTCCTCTTTGTGCTGGTATCCAGGGGGCCTGTGGTCTCACAGCCTGCTCCCACGGACTCATCCTACAGCACAACCTGTTAGTCACACTGGTTCTTCTCCCGATTCATTTTTCTTGACTAATACTGACCTACAGTTTCAGTTCATGTGGTTGAGAATACACAAAATGAAAACACATGCCAATGGGGCTTTCAGTTATTCCCAATGCCAGTTATTTTCCCCATGGACGAGCTATAGCAAAAGGGGGAAAAAGAAAGGGATGGCTAAAAATAGGAATAGTCACCTCCACACAAATTTCTTGAAGGGATGAGTTAAAATGAACGACTTAGCAGGGATTTCAAGGAACCTAAATAATGTAGCTTAATCTTTATGTCCAAAATGTCACCTTTCTGCAGTCAGAGAAAGACAAACAAGAAGAAAAGTCATCCCTTGCTATTTTCTTAGCTTCTATTATGAAAAAATCTGTTTGCTTATAAAGGAAGGTACACCAAAAGATCAGAATAACTATGCTATGGTGATGGGATTAAGTGTACTTTTTCTTTGTTTAAAATTTCCTTCTTATAAAACATTTTCATAACAATAAATGTGAATCAATATAAGAAAGCAAGAGATCTTCATAATCAATGTGATAAGAATATGAGAATGCTCTTCATTCATTCAGAACCTATTTACAGAATACCTGGCAAAGTGTCAATTACTTCTGTTTTTTGGAGACAAAGTCTTGCTTTGTCACCCAGGTTGGAGTGCAGTGGTACAATCTCGGCTCACTGCAACCTCTGCCTCCCAGGTTCACGTGATACTCCTGCCTCAGCCTCCTGAGTAGCAGGGATTACAGGTGCATGTCATCACGCCCAACAAGTTTTTTTGTATTTTAGTAGAGACGGGGTTTCACCGTGTTGCCCAGGCTGGTCTCGAACTCCTGAACTCAGGCAATCCTTCTGCCTTCGCCTCCCAAAGTGCTGGGATTTCAGACATGAGCCACCGCACCCAGCCGTCAATCACTTTTACTAGAAATTCTAAAGGTTTCCAAGAGATTCGGGTTCAATGAATCAAACAAATTCATGTTTAATTTGTCTGTAAACATGAAAACAGACAAATGCTAAAACCATCTACGTGTTTGCACTAGTGTCCATGCCTCGCGAACAAAATCCAGATCAAAGTTGTTTAAGGAATGACGGAGAATTCATTAGAAAGATGTTGGGGTAGCTCACAAAAGTCCAAAGAAGAACTACAGGAATCGGAACTGTAGCCTCTCAAGTCCTCCACCAGAAGAGAAAGATATGCTCCTCCCAGCTTCAGTCTGAAAACCCCTGGGAAGATTTGTCTGACTGTCCTGGCCTGGGTTATGTGCCAGTCACCTAGACCAATCTCTGCGGACAACAGGGGCAAGACTCTTATCACAAAAAGGGTTGGGCGGGAAGAGGAGAAAAATAACCAGATCAGGCTACAGGGGGAATTCCTCATTTTGATACCAATAAAAGGGAACCAAAAAAAGTTATAAACACTATCCTGTGAAGTACAGAAAAGGCTACTAAGTTAATTAAGGGTTTAAAAGATGTATAGAGCATGTCAGATAGAAAAGTGCAGAAAATCACTTCCGGCAAAAGCACAGGGAGTTCACTGTCTTTTATCCTGCAGATAGCAAGGATTTTTTTGGCCAGGAGATAGGGCTGGGGTTGGAGGGGAGTGGTTGGGGTTGTTAAGAAATGCATGTATGATCTGCTCAGCTTAGTTTTAAAAAAATAAGACAACAGTGGCACATGGCAGGCTGTCTGGAGAAGAGATTGATGACAGGAAAATTGGTTTGAAGGTTGCTGGAATAGCCAGTTGGTAAGTTATAAAAGAACCTGAAATAAGGTGAAAAAGAAGAAAGGTGAAAGAGTCTTCAGCTTGAGTTTGTTTGAAAAGTTTTTCTTTTTCTTTTTTACACCATACAAAGCCACAATAACAAATAAGCCCCAGGTTGCAACATTATATTACCCAACCAATTATAGTAAGTTGTAAAAAGAAAGACTAAATTTAAGACATTTTAAGTGACAAAACAAATGTTTTCTGCCAAATGATCTTTCCAAATAGAAACACTTAATATAAAGAAATTTCACTGCTCTAGGGGTTCAAAGCAGCAAAGCTTATTTTAACACAGGTGCTTTGACCAATAATCACCCATTATCAGCATTCTAAATAGTTTTCCTAGCAATCCAAAGTATTTCTCCCAAGTCATTTCATGTTTTCAGTTCCTTTCTAGTGTTCTGAATTATTTGGCTTAGCTGCTGGCTATAAAAATAGGCCATTTGGTGATTTGTTAAAGCTATGTCCCTCTCTCCCTCTAACAGGCACACACACACACACGCACACAAATTTGAAATGTACACATTTTTAAATTCTTTGATTACTTCTAAGGAACTCCTTATTGTCATAAGGATCAGTCTTAGATGATACAAATGATTACCTACCTGCATATTCATAGAACCATTCTAAGCACCTTTTACTTGAAAAGGCTTCTTCTTCAGTCTTTATTCTAGTTGAATCATATTTTCTATACATGCTAAAAATTGAAAAAGCAGTTTTAAGTTATTTAAAGATACTGAGTTCTTTTAAGTAGCAGATAATTTATATTCTTTTACCCAAACCAGACATCTATTCAGTCAGTATTTTAAGTATACTTTAAACATTTTATGCTTCAGCTTTTAACTACGGTGTTTAAACACATTCACTCCTAATATAGAAGTGGTAAGCACTTAATGTAAGTTTTTCTCTGATTAAGAAATAATCAGTAAGAACTGAACAGAACAGGTATTTGATATACTCCCTTCTACCTCACCAGCCAGAACTAACTACAAAATAATGGTGAGATATGGCAAGAAATGTCTAAGGTGTTTTCCGCAATTAATAAGCCTGCAACTCATGTCTGACTTCTATGTCTTACAAGTTAGGCTGGGCACAGAACACAGTCTAAGGAAGAATCTCTCAATATTAGACAACTCAAGAGAACATTAAGCAAATAAAAAGAAACATCGAATCATGTCCAAGCTTCCAGGAAAAAAATAAACTTTGATGTAAGGCTGACAAAGACAACGTCCCTTGGGTGGTTTCTTGATTAGTATAACCTTAGAAACCTCAGGAGACAGAAGTATAGAGAATCCAGCTTCTGCCTTTTTCTTCAAATTCTAGCCTTGTGGACAGCCCAGCATAAACTGGAGAACTGAATCAGGAAGCACAGCAGCCTCCTGTTGCAAGTGTGACCTTCCACAAAAATGACATACTCATAAAAACCAGGGGCTGAGGAAGGTAGGAAGGTGATACTCTCTACATGGAGAGGGAAGAGGAGGCAATAGCTTTAAAATGATGATCTGGATATAAAAATTGTAAGTATATATATTTTTGTATCCCTTATTTATAAATTACCTAGTTGTGTATATAAGCATTTATGAATACAGTTTTTATTTACACAGTATGTAAGAATATGAAAATAATATTCGTTAATTCCCCAGTCTATGCAGGGGACTGGTTCCAGGACCCCCACCTATACCCAAATCTGCACATACTCAAGTCCCCCAGTCAGCCCTGCAAGACCTGTGTATACCAAAAGTTAGTGCTCCATACAGGTGGGGTTTCACATCCCTCAATGATATATTTTCTATCTCTGTTCGGCTGAAAAAAATCCACATAAGTAGACCCGTGCAGTTTAAACTTGTATTGTGCAACAGTCAACTGTATAATTCTTTTTTATTGAACACTGATTCATGATCTAGACACTCACCTGATTATCAGTATATACCTCTGATTAGTTTCTGGGTTTTAACACCAAAAAAAGAACATAGTTATAATAAGGTGTTAAGTTACCGAAACTGCAAACCAGCAGTTCTGTACTTCTTCTATAAAAGGTAGCCATACCACCTGGAAACAAAAGTGGATACCGGCCAAGTGTTCAAATAGATATGTTCTAATTCTGGGCCCAGGCATTCCTATTTCAGCTTGAAGCCTGTAACTGGTCAATAACTTGGAGACACTATATTAATTATTGAAAAATACATAAAAAAGAACCAAGAGCATACAATGGAATATCATTCCGCAAATAAAATGAATGAAATACTGATATATGCTATTTCAAGCAAGAATCAAAAACATCCTGCTTAGTGAAAGAAGCGAGACGCAAAGACCATATCCATAAAAAGGAAATCTGTCGAGACAAAGTAAATTAGTGGTTGTCTGGGGCTGGGAGTGACTGAATGGGGATTAGGAATCTTACTGGGATAATGGAAATGTTCTATAACTGGTTTGTAGTGATGGTGTGGACAACTCAGTTAACTTAATAAAAATCACTAAACTGTGCACTTAAAATGGATGAACTTTATGGTATGTAAATAAAGTTGTTTATAAAAATAAAGTTGTTTATAAAAGAAAGGGCAAGAATGAAATTCAGAAACTGCAACTATACTGCCAGTTTCAAATCTGGCTTTATCATACTATATTTTATTAGATTATGGTGAGAAAATACTAAGTGCTATAAAGTCACAAAATGTTGTGTGATTGTCAGAATTTAACAATTCTGACAGTAACATCCATACCACCAAAAAAGTATCAAAGTAGCCTGCCTTCATAAAGTTGAAAAATCACTGGCCTAAAGATTGCTGGTGATTATTTTCTAAATCACTACTAGCTTCTCTTAGATAATATTTTCTATTCATTTGAGATATAAACAGTGACATTATTTTTACAGTTTCAGAGTCTTTCTTATTCCTCTGAGTTGTAGTATACAAAGAATCACAGCACGAAAGAAACAGAAAAATCCCACTTAAATTCCCTGGATTAACAGATGTGGAAAATCAGGCCCATTAGTGATGTGACCCACAAAGCCAGAATGGGGAAAGATGGAGAAAGGTAGAAAAGACTAGACAATGATGTTCGTTCATTGTTTCTAAAACAAGGAAGAAAAAACTACTTACTAGACTCAGGGTGAAACAATAAAGATGTTTGAAATAAACGAATCTAACATGCCCTTGGAGTTATCAAAATTAGCAAGTTCACTTATCTGAAAGAGAAGCAATTTAAAGAGTCTTGTTTTTCACAGTTCTATCAAATTCTCATCCATGTGAGAATAAACCTCAGCTTGGCTGATATTCTGGGCAGGCACAGACCATTAAGTACAGGCAGATCTCTCCAGCTCTGTGGTTGAAGTGAATGAGTGAGACCCGCTTAAAGAACAAGAGACCAATTCTGTGGTCCTCAGCAGGCACAGACAGTAAGGCTTTAAAAGGAAAGAAATCAACTCTGCACCAGTTTTGGGCGATCAATGGATTAAGATAAAACTTTAACTTCTAAGAATTCAAATTACCGAATTTTTTTGTTTTTAAACTAAAACACAAAATAAATGTGATCAAATAATTACATTTTGAAAAATTGACTAGCAAAGCCAAAACAATATTCCACTCGACATTTGCACACTTAGAAGACCCATACTAAATTAGGTAGAAATGTGCATCTTCGACATATGTATCACTGATTCTGATCTACTGTCTCTACATCATACCTATCATGTCTACTTTTCTTGGCAGATAAATCATCTCCAGAGGCAGGTCTTCTCTTTTTCCTTGGTGGCATCACTTTATTAAAGCAGTCTGAAGAACTGCAAGACCGCAGACTTCCTACAAAACAAATTCAAAAAGCACAAAATTAAGGTATGCTACATCCTAACTTCATACTTCCAAAGAACAGTATTGCTAAATTAAACACTTCCACAGCTTGTATTGTAAAGAATTTAGATGTTAAAGAAAAGATGGGCTTTCAGTTCCTTTTTGAAAAAAATGTTATGGTCAAGAAATAAACCTAGTGATGACACAAATAAGTTAATACGTCCACCAACCCAAATCACACTAGAAATAGAAGTTATTATAATTTCAATTTACTCTCCAAAAATACTAATCTAAGTCATTTAACCTTTCTGTTTCTCCTATGTCAATGTTCTCTCAAAACGAACTACAGAGGTATCTCATGTACACACTTCATGAAACAAGGTCAGCTCAACGAGTAACCCTGACTCTAAAATACATGTAGGCACAACAGTCCCAGTACTCTTAACCTTCAAGAGATACCTGATTTAAGAAAAAAAACAGGATTTGGGATTTTTTAAGCAGAAGTCTGACATGACCTTCAGCAAAATGTCCACAACAATTTTGTTTATTTCTGCCACTTGAAGACTTTGCCATGTTCAGTCAGGGTTTTCAGTAAGGAAACATAACTTCATTTGGTAATTGTCTGATATTAAAATGTAATAACAGATAATAATAGCCACTGAACACTTATGGAGGCGGAGGGGGGTTAGGTAAATGGCAAAGCTCTTGCTTCAAGCCGTCTTAAATTATAAATTACAAGACAACTATAAGATGATTAAAATATCCCATCTTGGTACAAGTGCCCTCAAATATATTATGTCATTTGGTTCCTACAATAATCATGAATGACAGGTAGGGCAAAGATAATTATTTCTACTTAACAGACAGGGAAAACTAAGGCTTAGGCATTCGAGTGACCTCCTGAGGTCTCAGGAGTGAGAAGTGGTGAATTCTGAATCCCATGCCTTTCTTCCTTGCACAAGCCCTTGGCTGAAGGCCCACAGCTCTCAGGGAGTAATGAGGACAGGAGAGCGTGAAGGGTGCTGGGGACTGAATGATCTGCAGTCAATGAGTGAGTTTCAGTTCTTTACCTATGGGGTTCTATCAGTCACTAACCTACCTGGGGTCTCTCATTCACCATTTGAAGAATAAGAATTGTTATATAGCTACCTCTCAGGATTTTTACGAAGGAAAAAAATATCCATTCAATAAGTGTTTAGGCACCAAGTGCTGTGTTCAGGTGTTGCTGAAATAAAGAAATAGGTTCCGAGCAGCAACGTGGAAGGAGGCATGCGCACTGACCTTATGGCGGCCTTCAGCATTCACTGAACTCTCAGGACACGATTCACCAGCATGTAACATATTTTAACAAACAGGGAAATCAACGCAGAGATAGATTAAGTGACAGCTGGAAAGCAGCATGTAAAGCCAAGGTATGAACCCAAGCAGCCCAGCAGCAAAGCCTAAGCTCTCAGCCACCATTTGCTGCCACTTCTATGAGGCCATAAAAGCGGAAACTGGGAAGCAGAGAACTAAGGACAGAGCCCTGGGAAAAGAAGGTAAAACCTAGGCAGGGAGGAAATCCAGGAGAGTGTCATGTCCTGGAAGCCAAAGGAGGAGAGCATGCTTTGAGAAGGGAGTGTCCAATTGCAGCACAGAGGTCAACTCAACTAAGGAGTGAAGGCACACATGAGATTTAGCAATCAAGTACAGTGTCCATGGATCAGCGGGAGTGCAGGCCAGATTGCAACGGGCTGTGGAGAGAAGTGAGGTGAGGAAGTGGACACAGTGAATGTGAACAGCTCTTTCCAGATACCTGCTCTGAAGGCAGAGAGAGCTGTCAACAGCCAATAGTCACAACCCTGCTAAGAGCAATGATCAGAGCTGAAACCCAAATCCCAGTTCATATCTGGGTTTCTATCACTGTGCTAAGTTCCTGGGGTGACATGCTTCAGCAACATAACAGTCCAAAGCACCTTTTCCATTATAAATTGTGACTCTGGCCCAGATGAGGGTCCTTCCCAGACCCCAGTCTTGGACAGTGCCCAGGCTCAAGGATCCTGCCTGCTCCTTCAGCACAACACCAGTTCAGGTTTAAACAGATGACCCTCAGTCAACATTCCTGGGGACCCAACCAGGCTCTTTCCTTCCAAGGATAGGAGTAGAGGGCTCTTCAGAGACACTAGGCACCCCCATATCTCTCTTCCCACACCTGCAATGAGAACTGGAAAAGAAAGAATCAGGGAGAGTGCTGCCTACTACCCCACACACCCCATTCATCTTCCCTGTAAAATGTTGCCCCGTTCACAAACACCACTAAAGCATACTAAAAGGTCCAAAGAATTGCAGTGATCCAAGTTTCTGCAGATTGCCAACATACAAAAACAAAGATTTATTCATATCTATTAATGCCCTAGAGCAGGGCTTGCAGAATGAAAAACATGCCCTGCTCAGCTGTAAAGCGTGTTATATTGCCCAGAAATGAAGAGTCTGTCCTGATCCTCAAGGCTGGCGTCTCCCTCCTTAGTGGTATATGTGGGAAGAAAAGACATTTTCTTCCAATAGCAAAATCATGGTTTGGTTCTTAGCTTCTGGTCTAGCAGTGACCCCTCCCCTTCCACATGTGCAGAACACAGAAGAAAGTGCATTTGTCTCCTCAATCCATAAGAAGAGAAATACTGTTTAAAATAATGTCTACACCAATATTCGCCAATAAAAGTTCATTCATTAGCTCCTCTACCACCTGCTTCTTCCTAGACACACACTGGTACAACATTTGGTTTCCACTGAATCCTACTTGTCAAGATTAGCATGTTTTTGGCAAATACACAAACATCATAAGTTAACTAACATTTTCAGCTTTCTCTTATGTTTCTTTCTTATTGATAAATGCTTTCTATTAAAAGTTTCACAAATACTTTTTTCTTGTGTCTGTGGAAAACTTACTCATCTTTGAGACCCAAATCATCCCAGATTAGCAAGTGATCTGTCATTTATTAAATTTTTTATCTCCTAAGAGGCATGACTTTTTTTTTTTTTTTTTGTAAATCTCTCCACTCTAATCATCAGCATAAGCAAGTGACAGTTAAGGGGTCATTTTTTCACAAAGAAACTGTGTCTATCCACCTGCCCCAACAGTCATCTAAGTTCAGGCACTGACTCGCTGACTCTCACACAGCTGGCTGACAAGGAAGATGAAGCAAACTCAAACCCAGGAAAGGGAAGGGAATTGACTGAGGACCACACAGCATAGCTGGTCAAGGTAGAGTCTCCCTGGAACCCATTCAGGCTACAAAAAAAGCAACTTTTTAATGCTTGGGAAAACAACTTTACTTAAAATAGTAATTTGTCAAAGTGAACTAAATCATCAAAATACACAGAAAACACCCAATTCAAGTCTGTTTGCTTCAAACCTGCTCCCCCAATAGTTGCACGGATCCCAACTAAGCAAGAGCAACAACTAGGATTTCCTGAGTGTACGTAAAATGGCACATACTGCTTTGCGGGGTCCTGCTTGGTTCATTTGTGCACACTCAGCATCTAATACAGTATCTTATTACAGTAATAATAAGATACATCATTACTGAGTCATACGGTAGACTCTCAATAAATATTTGTTGAATAAATGCTCCTAAAACATGTATAAATCAGATTCTGCTAAAGAAAAAAAAAAAAGTACATTTCCAGAGACTTAAAACACCTATGAGTAAATAAAACACCATCATTTCATATTTATTCCCCATGTGTCACTAAAACAGTTAACTTTAAATTTCTTAGCAGATAGGATTTTTTAAAAGACATATTCAATGAATGTTTGCTTCTTAAAATAACTCTGTGATGTTTTTATGATAAAAATACTTAAATAGAAATAATTTCTACAAATTTGTATTTATTTGTATCATTAAATTTAGACTTCACTGACTCAGAACTTGTATCTTCGCATTACTTGACTTCACAAGTTTATCTTTTAAGCTACAAAAAATATACAAATAACATAAACAAGAATGTTATGGAATATTTATCTGCTTCAGAAAATGAGCTATTTTAACCATTTTAAAGTACCTACTTAGGTACAAACATCTGGCATTAGAGGTAGAAGCAAGACATTAAGGCTGATGTTTCAGTGAATCTGAAATCAATCCTCCTATCATTAGAAGCTCTTTCTTAATGTTTTGGTGTTTACATGACACTTAGGAAAGCAATCAAAATTGTGTGCAATTTTTGCCCAAAGATTACTGTTTAAGTTCAGGTTCATTTCTTTTGGGTTCAGTGTTTCAAGAGAACAAATTAAATATTTTTTAACGGACCCCATCTGATTTCAAATAAATCAGTCAACGAATATAGCTTTTCTTCCCACGTTAACCAGAAATACTGCCAACATTTTTTTCAACAGGTCTATCCTAGTATTTATGACAGAAAGTCCATTTTAAAGGGCAACTTGAGTTCATCTGGTTCAGACTAAAGGCCCTTTATCATCTATCCAGCTTGCTATTTTCATAATAATTTAATTACGTAGCACATTTTTCTTAACGAATAGTGCCTAAATATGTGATTCACTTCCTTTTTTTTTTTTTTTTTTTTTTTTTTAAATCTTTCTGCTCCGTGGTCCTCAAGTAAAAAAGAATACAAGAGGTCTACAAAATTAGAGAATATTTTTTACCTCTCCAAACTTAATACAAATAGATGTGCCAATACAAAAATCTCACTGTCTCATGTTTCATTTTAGTAAGCTGATTGTATCATAGCCTTGTTTCATTTACCAACATTTTACAGAGTTCATTCTGCCACTTTAGTACTTTTTATATAGCTATTTCACCTCACTTTTCATTGAACAATGTCACAAAGATACAGTTATTTAAGTTGATAAATAGATTGCCTCTTAAGATCTTACCAGTAGCTAATATTTTTATTTCATTTTCTTGAACAGATCATTGAACTGCTAAAGACAAAAGAATTTTTTCCTCTCTCTAAATACTTCTGACATCTATCATCTTCATCCTTACTCATTTATTTATTTTTTATTTTTTATTTGA